TTCTTTTTTATAAACAACACATTTACACACAAAGCAACAAGCATACATTACATTGATTACAATTCCCTTCACAACGGACACCTCTTTACAAGAGACCAATTATATACTGTACACACATACACATACACACACACAGAGGGGTGTGGGGATGGGGGGGGGATTGCAAACCTTTCTTTATAGTATAATGATAATTGTTCACGTTATTTTATAAGAGAAGCCATTTTTCCACTTTATTATGTAAGTCTATATTATTTTTGCAGTTTTTATGCTTATTTATCAAGATCTTATGAGATTTAAGTTAAAAAAGTATGTGATTCTTTAAACTCGTTATATTAAGTTCCATTTCTAGACATTTCATTTTAAAAATGTATTGTTTAATCAATACATGTAAATGTAATAGGATAAGATTATCCACTATCAAATCAGCATCCTTAGAACTGAATTGTCCAAATATAAATTCCTGTTTGTCAAAATTCAAATCAATATTACTGGTTGCAAGCAATTATTTTAGTTCTCTCAAAATTTCACATACTTGAAAGTAATCATGTTGTCAGGGGAAAAAAACAAATTTATGAACTGAAAAATGATTACCACTGTGATTTCAGTAATGTGACCAACCTGTTCCGGCTAATTAGGCAAATGGCTGATCACGATAAACACCATGACGGGTGCTGGGGACGCGTTGTCATACCAGTGAGAGTAAGTGTTTGTTAGCCAAAGATGGTTTCAATATTTCATGCAGATATTAGATTTTGGTTTGGCTCTGCTGTTTAATTTTTTTGGTTATTCCTCCATCTAAATCTTTATCAAATGAGTTGAAAGAAGATAAGAATGTTCATATTTGGCCTAATTTGTGTCCACAATCTTATAACATGTTCCATATTTATCCTGTAATATGCCTAGGGGCCAACACAAAATTACAGGACAATGGAATAACATTGTTGACATTTTGTAGAATTGCAGTAGATATGGGTGGGCTTATTACCAGGCATGGGCTTATTGCTGGATAATTACGGTAGTTATAGCTGTGAATGTTAAGGACATTGTTCCGTGATGAATGTAATGTTAGTCATGTCCCAAACCGAAGTAGAGGATTAGGTATATAAACAGAGAAAACATGTGTATGCTTTCAACTGCAGACCATAACTTAACAATATCATTTGCATACATTTTGCCGAACAAATCTTTGTTCGCACTTGATTCTTTTAGCAAAGGACAAAATTACTTGCTCACTAGTGTTTGACTCTCTGAAGTGTTGGTTTACAGGACGTTCCGGCTCACGGCTGTGCCTGGTGGTGGGATATACACCCTCTGTCTGGGGGCAGCAAGTCCAAGTCTGTCGGCCGCATCAGACTCAAGCTTGACATCTCTCACAGAATGGTGAGTTTTTAACCCCCATCCCCCCTACATAGCTAATAGTCATTTAGCTATGTAAAGCTCAAACTTTTAAATTATCATTTTTTTTTTAAGTATATTGAGAAGCTTGATTGAAACATCAGGCAAAAATCTTCATTAGGTGATAAAGGTAGTGAAAAATAAATATTTCATTCTGTTGGACAGTCAGAAGTCGGCTAAAACGTAGATACCGCCGGTATATCTAATTCTAACAACTCTGTTACAGGAGAGTGATTGTGAGGCGGAGGAGTGTTTCTCTGTGGAGGACTACTACCAGGCAACACAGCAGATCTATGAGCACGCGGCCAAGACTGCCAAGGTAGATAACTCTACACAACGACATCACTAGGGTTCCGTGTAACGCTGTATTTTTAACAGAACTGCTAAGGTTTTCATTCAGATCACCATCCAAGTTTTGCCAATTTTTTTTATCCTGTATATAAATGAAACTATTGTCTGCAAAGATTTGTACATCAGAACTATATATTTTAACAGGAGTCGGAAATTACAATGGAAGCCCACTTACCAGCAAAGGAGAGGCGAATCCTAGACAGCTTCGCAATATCTCATAAAATTGGCAGACTGTCCCAGGCTGTTGTGTAAGTTATACCAATAGACAAACAAAATATCTGATAGTTGCTTGTCTTTTCATTCAATTAATTATTACCACCATTAAGACATTATTGATTGCAATAAGATTGTGTACTAATTTCATTAAGATTTTTCTATGTATTTATTTAGTCATGTATATTACTATGTTTTCAGTCATGTGATTGTCCTGCTGGAGTGGACGACCACCAATGAGAATATTGTCCACACTGAACTCGCCCTGACTACGGCCATCCAGGACCTCCAGATGACCTGGGTCACTCAGCAGATAGACGTGTCCACAGTCACTCAGAAGATGCCACTAACAGATGCTGAGGTGGCTGTTGGTTGATTTTAACTCTTTTTGCTCAGTAAAATGACACCTCATTAAAAAACATCCACAATGAAATAGAAAAAGTATTAACTCTTTTACCTCTGAAGACACATTTGAACTCTTCCAATTCAAAGGTTGGAAAAGTTCATTATGAAATTACAGGGATGAATGAGATATGAAAAAAGCTTTATATGCTTAGCCTGTTGTCCTATCCCTTTGTTAGTACATGTACTGTTATATTTCTTATGTAATACTTGTAATCATCTTAGTTTGTATTAACAATAAAATTGAAAGAGATATGATGTCATATCGATAGTTTTAAGTTTTGAAGAAATTTTTATTCAGATGTTTTTTGTTTTTTAAATATGATGATTTTACATGTATAACCTTCTGATTATTGGATTTGATAGAGGATGTATTTCATGTTAACAGATATCCATGTACAGAAAGGCCGCAACCAAGTACATTTTGTGGGTGTCGGATCATCTAGAGAAATTACCTGTCCTGTTTCCACCCACAATAGACAACATCAACATTCTCAAAGCAAAGCTCGGGTACGTAACATCAATGTTCTCAAGGTGAAGCTCGGGTACGTAACATCAATGTTCTCAAGGTGAAGCTCGGGTGTTTTTTCCTTTTAAAAATTTAGAGAGGAGTTTAGAACAACATGTAGATCAGATGGCATATCTCCTTAAGGAAAGCACTGGTAAAAAAAAAAATGAATTTTTGTTTCAGTTTCAAAATAATTCACTTGATATTGTCTTTTTAAAAGAGATGGTATGTACTTAGTATTTGTTGGGCAGGTATTTGATATATGAGCAGAACTCTATAACAGTATACCATATACTCCTACAGGAAATTTAAACATTTTACTCTCACTGTTGCCAGGATCACCATACAGCTGGTGGAAATTGACCTTTGGGAGACAAAGTCAGCACCACTGAATAACCTCACAACTAAAGTCCTCAATAAGCTTCAGGTAGGTCAAAGGTCATCCTAAGTTGAAAGGTTTTATGAAGCACAATTTAATTTAGAATATAAATTTTGTGTGGTCTGTAGGAAATATAATGAAAAATATGTATATATTGAACTCTAAGTGACATTGGTAATTAGTAGAATTTGATGTTCATAAGTGTATACCTAGTAAACCTTCGTCTAACAGGACTTTGTTGTAAGACTGTTTTTCTCTACATTTACTGTGTATCACAGGAGGATGTTGATGAATGGATGGACATCGAAGTGGCCGCTATCAAGAACCACGACCTTGTCAAGGACGCGGTAATCCCTGAACTGAATGCCCTTGGGGAGCTGGTAAACAGTGCATCATCTCACCTCAACTCCATGGGGGTTGTAAAGACGTTCTTCACAGCACTGGGCATCATCTACTATAGGGTAGTGTCCTTTGCAGTGGAAAAAAAGGCGAGTGCAATGCAGCCTTTTTATACTGTTTTTTTTTTTATGTAAATCATTTTTGAAAATTTAAACTTAAACAGTAGGTAGAATTAAATTCAGGCGTAGTCCCCAGGCAGATTCATTAAAATATTAAAAAAGGTGTTTTGGTGTCAAACCCAAACACTTGCTATGCTGCTACAATATGACTAGCAGTCTCTATTTACCAGGAGATTCATAGAATGTCAGAGAAGGGGTTCTCAAAAGTTGTTTTTTTATCGAAAATGAATCTAATTAATGATAAATGTACCCGGTGCAGGCGAGCCTAACTATAGATGATTCTACTGTAATACAGATTATAGATGATTGTAATTTATTATGGGCACAACCTAATTATAGGATAATGTCATTACAGATACAGTATACCTAATAACATTTAAATGTTTTTATATATTACATATTAACCTAACTACAGGTGAATTTATTGTACAGCATAGGTGAGATTAATCACAGGTAAACATGCTGATTTACAGGTGAGCCCGGTGATGAAGGAGTTGATGATGGAGATGGACAGATACCAGCGACGTTATCACAACTTCCCAGTTAATGTGACGGCCAGTAGTCGCCTCTCTCTCAGGGTCTACTTCGCTGTCAGGAAGTTCTACAATATCATCCGTGACAACATCAGTCGGCGGTAAGTACAATGGCAGCGTGTGAACTGGGAGGTTTTGATATTTGCAAGAGGAAAATTGTCATTTGTTACCTGAAACTGAAGTGAAAGGGTGTCTGCTATTGGCTCCCAGAGTGAAAATGGTTAAAATGGAAGGTAATCTGTCGTTTTCTCTTAGTTTTTAATTAATTTGTAGGAAGGAGATTCTGGTTCCTCTCAGAAATGATATAATAGCGTTGGGAGGGAATCTGCTGTTGGCTCCAAGAGTTGAAGTGGTTAGAGTGGAAGGCAGTCATGATTTGAAGAAACGTTTTTTGTTAACATATAGGGAATAGAAAGTTGAGCAATGATTTATGGTTTTTACAGGGATGTGTTCCGCTTATCTATCTCCCACTATCAACAATGGTACCAGGAAGCCCTCGTGTTCTGGGTACAGTCTTTTAGGACAGAGTGTACCAACCGGATAGAACGGGCCTTGGAGATTGACAAAGATGTACGTACAGAATGTCTTGTGGGCATAGTTAATGCAGTTAATATTAATAATCCCCTTGAGAATGTAAAGAATGTACGCTCAGATTTGTAAACAATATAGACGGAAAGAAAAATGTCCAACCTACTGCAAAAAATGTGAGTCGGGAAACTGCAAACAAAGAATTTTGTAAAGATGACCTTTTAGATGTATTTTGAAAATAGAATCTTGTGAAATATGTATCCAGCTTGATTTTTCTTGCAGGTAGTTGTTGCAACATCTCTGGTGAAATTTTCGAATTCTTCAGTCGATGTTCTCTCATGCTTTGCCAAGGTGAGTTATACTATAGAGAGTACATTTATATAATAAAATCAAATGTTTTCCATGCTAACAGCTGTTTATTTTATTGTGAATGTAATCATATCAATTTTATTTTAAAAACCTAAGAGGTGTGGAAACAAGTCTTTTGAATTTAAAAAACATGTACATGTAATGAATCATTGACTCATTTATTTGATTTCATTATTTATTTTTTATTTTTGCTTTTAATATGTTTAATTATAAAACATGTTTAATATTTAAAAAACGATTTTAAAGAAAGCAGAAATTAATTAAAAATTGCTTACTTAGATTGTGTCAATATCAGGACAAGGTCATATGTACGTATATGGTATACATCACACTTTACACTGAAGTACATAAACATGTTTATGATTTTCATAGTTGTGAAGGAAACGACAAATGCAAAAGTGGCTTAACCGACTCAAATTCGAATTCAAATTCTTTTGTTAATGCAGCTTTACAGCTCATCCGTATGACATACACACAGAAATATTACAAAATAATTACATGATGTGCGGGACACACTGCACAGATAGGACATCAGTTTACTTTACATTTTTTTTTCCCAAGTTCAAACATTCCAGGAAGTTCCAGCATTCAGAAAAATTAAAGTTATTGAAAGCAAAAATAAACACCCATGATTGTAACAATGTGTCATATTATGTAGTTATGTAAATATCATTGTACATTAATATGTAGTTATGTAAATATCATTGTACATTAATAAACCCAAAATATCACTGTGATGAATTGTTTTCAGATAACAGAAGAATGGCGTCAGATTGACTTCCACGACCCTGACTCCGCTTTGATGGGTGTGACAAAGATAACGGATGTAAGTGACTGGCTTAATTATCATCCTGTAATGTTAACCCTTCATATTTATAACATTAACCCAAATGTTTTCTTCTTATTCATGTTTTACACATGTATTTCACTAAAAAAAAATCACTCGATTAATGTTTAATTTAAAAATGAACGGAACATCAATTTTTTTTGTAAGTTAAATATGAAATAAAGGAATAATTAGAAGATTTTTTTCTGTGTTGTAGTTGATTTGTGATGGTGCTCGGATGTATGGAGAAAAAATACATTCCATATTGGAGAGAAACTGTTACTATGACGACTCGGTGGTTCAATTTGATGTGACAGACAGGGTAAGTATTCCTCGCTCTGTAATATAAACGGATGATCATGACCTTAACTTTACCTACATAGAGAAAATTAATTGTACATTTTTTTTTTAAATTTTGGATCAGAGTGAACCAAATTCAATAAAAATATCAACTTATAGAATATCATTTCTGATGGAAAAAAATAATTTATTATACTGTTTTAAAAAATTTATGACATTTTGTTTGTGAATTTTCCCCTATAACAAGGCTGAGTAAGTTTTGTTAGATACAGAGAAACCTGCTTTGATGATTTAAACCTTCACTGTTCAGAACAATAAAGAGGGTTTTCCAGTTGAATTTTAGATCAGTTAAGGCAACTATAAGGAACATTTAGATTAGGATCAAACAACCTTTTCATGTAAACCCTTCCAACACTGTAGACATAATGGACTCACCCAGATAAATGTATGGTAGAGTCTATTAAAGTTACCAAGGGGTGAAAGGGTTAAGAGACAGAGTTTAAATTACCAAAGCAGCTTTTACTGCACATGGAGGTCCTTTAAAATTTCATAAAAATGTTGAAGTTTCATGTATTATCCAAAAATATTTTTCATTTCTATGTTATCATATTTTATTTGATGTGACTAAAACATCACAGTACACATATCATGAAATGATGTAGTAGTGTTTCTCTGCCTTATTACAGCTGTGTATAACGCTGAACAACATAGAACATGTTCGTCAGTACCTCACCGAGCTGCCACACCTGTTGGACTGGGACTCCATCGTCATGCTTATCTCCACGCGATACGAAAACGATGACGTCGGCAATCAAGCCCTGTCAACATTGAAGCGACTTATGGACACGGCCAACAAGGAGATCATCTTAAAGAGCTCGCTACTTTTACAGCAGATAACAGAGAAAATGAAAGTGGACATTGCTCGATATATGGAAATTTTCACCATACAACATCCGGAGAAGGCGTCTGTGAGTTTTTGTATAGTTTTATGAAATGTGTAATAGTTGGTAATATTATATATAAATAATGATAATATTTTTAAGAGAAAATTTTGGAATTTTAAATGTACAACATATTTGAAAACATCATAATAATATTATGTTAGTTAATCAGATGCTTTTTTTGTCAACACTATATCGTTTATTCAGTTAGAAAACACAAGATTCCTTGAAAAATAATTAATTTCACAAATTCTTGTCAGACTTATCTGATTGGTGTATTTGGTTTGTTTAGTCGGTGGACCAGCTGATTGCCTACTTGTAGACTAATCTGATCGGTGTATTTGGTTTGTCTAGTCGGTGGACCAGCTGATTGGCTTCTTGTTGACTAGTCTGATTGGTGTATTTGGTTTGTTAAGTCTGTGAACCAGCTGATTGCCTACTTGTCGACTAATCTGATTGGTGTATTTGGTTTGTTTAGTCGGTGGACCAGCTGATTGGCTACTTGTCGACTAATCTGAGTACATTACACGACCGCCTTATGTCGTCCATTTTCCCACGAATGATCCTCCAGCTTTGGGAAACAGTTGTCACTCTGCTGGACCAACAACTCCAAGTTGGGGTAAGTGTGACCTCCATCCTGCTCATCCTATTTGTTTCCCCCTACAATTTTAAAATAATCTCTTCTTTGAATTTCCATTTGCGGGAGAAGTGAATAATCTAATTGTGAAAATCATATATTGGTCTCATCATGTAAATTAAATTGGAATCAAAAGCCCTGGAGGAGGTTCTTATCATATATTTTCTCTTTGAAGTGCTCACAGATATAATGTAATTTCATTTGCAGTAATATTTCATAATTTCTTTTTTTTGACAGAAAAGACCAGAGTATTATCAGCAGATGAAACAGGTGAGTAAGAGGATGAAAATAGTTCTTTTAACTTTAATTACGAATTATTACGAGACATTTGTTTATTTATCTATATAACTGATGTCTTGAGGTTAAAATATGATTTCTAAAATTTACATTTAGTATTGGATTGTAAGTAAGTGATAATTTTCAGTTACATTTTTCCAAATAATCATATCTGAAGAAAATATTTGTATGCAACTGACCTGTTTATGTATACTTGTTCCAAGATAAGTTTAGGATTTGCTATATACCGATATGACATTGTAGTATTTCTGTATTTCAGCATGTGCGAGCACTTACCTCCTACTTTGTTCGTGGAGGTTGTGAAGACGACAAGATTGATTCGTTTCATTTTGAAGCACTGAAGCAAAGAATTGACACCAACTGTATGTCTACAGAGGAACTGATGTTGGCCTACCTTAAATCACTTGCAGACAACATTGTAAGTCTGCAAATCGAGGTAGTTTTGTACAGTTTAATTGATAAATATCATAAATGATGTCCAAAACGATCATTACTAGTCTCCCACATTTAATTCAATCAGATTTCCCAGCAGGAGTACAGTCATCTTCATTGCCACCATAAAATCTAGACAACTTCAATTCCCAGCTGTGGCTTAATAGAAAGCTGGATTTAAACAGATGATTTTGCCAAATAAAAAATACTGGCTGGATTGGGGGGGGGGGGGCATAGTAATGGTCGATAAATTAATAAAACTTTACTGTAATAAGCCTGCTTTAAGCATGGGGACCCTAATAATCTGTTCATAGAATACATGTATATCAATTGGAAAGATATATTATTTCATTAAGTTGTTAAACAAATACATTTTTAGTTTAAAAAATTAACAGTGATAAGGCCAAAGAAAATGTCTGTTTCAGATACCAAGACCAACCCTAATTTTTTCCTCCGACCCTAACAATTTTATCTCACTTTAACCAATAAAAATTGTAAGCATCTTGATGGCGCTGATAGTTGTGTCAAACCTAATTGATATCTCTCACATTTGCAAAATGTAATGAATGAGAGAAAAAGCATTGAAATCAGCACCAGTCAGGCCTTATTATCAAGTTTTTTTTCTTATTTCTTAATTTATTACGGTACTTTACACGTGTTTATACAGACTTCTGCGTCATTGTGTTGTTTTACTGTACAGGAAACACCCCTGGAGTACTTTGGCCACCTTGCTCTGAAGACAGCCTACCTGGAGGAGACGAGAGGCAACATCACTCTGTTTGTTAAAGGTACGTAACACTTGTCATGTTTAAAAGGTACACAACTCTATTGCTGGTACATAATTCATGTCTTTATTCATAAAGCTGTAGTCTAATTACTATAGCAGTTGTGTCATAATCATAACTTCTGATCAATATTGTTGGACCATCCGACCACCAGTGGAAAGGACTTGGGGCGTTGTGGGTCAACTTGAATTTATTTGCCAATTTCTGCTATAAACATCATATTGCTTAATTGGGGCTATATTTCTTGGTGCTGATTTTTCCCATTGCGCATGTGTAGATGCCGTACCATAGCAACGAACGGCGTTGCTAGGCAGAAATAGCCAAAATATGGAGTTTTTGGACAGTTAATATGCAGAAATAAAAGCCACCGTATGTGACAAACAAAAATTCCTTTCTACAAACGAACACTTGTATAACAATTTTTAAGCATGTCAAAGATTTATTTGTTTGTGGCATGCGGAGGCTTTCAAAAATAGAAGAGCGTTTAGTTAATTTCCATCAAATGGCCAATTTTCAACCAAATAGCACACAACAGACGATATTCACACTATGTCTCTCTTTATAATGTCATATCTCCTTAACCAGTTGTTGAATGAATCTAAAATTTCATAATCACGTACTGCATTTATTCCAGATTAGAAATATAACAACTAATCCTAAATATCCGATGAGGCTGGAAACGACCCTTAACACCCCTAGTCCTTCGGCTCAACAAGCTCAGACTGTCCTGAAGTCTTAGTAATAGAACATCAAATTCATCAAAAATTTAATTATCAGGACATTTCATAAAGTTAGATTAAAGGTTGTGATAAACAAATTATACTGTTTTAGCCCCAGCATCCCTTAATTTTCTCTTGGATTGTAAATAATTTGCAGCAGCAACAATAAAATCAATGTTTGACAAGCACTAGGAACGGCCTAGTTATTCTGAGGCACCTGTCATCATTAACAGCATTGTTAATTGTGATATTGATAGATATTCATGTTTAAGATAGCCATCTTCAAACCTTGTTCAGTTATGTTATAATCAACATACACCTGACACATCCACATAGACATTGCATGCCCACAGTGCTGTTAACAACAACTAGAATATCACAACAACTGTCCATCTGAACCCAGTATCCATATTCATCACACAACTTATCCATTTAATTAACATTCTTAAAACACAGTAAGATATTTTTGTAAAATTTTCTCAGAAAATATATTGACGAAGGTATGGTATTAAATTGAATATGAAGTTAACTGATCAAGTGTTACCCTATTTACAGTGATAAGGGCGACTGACCTGCCTGGTCTGGACCCATCTGGCCTGAGTGATCCATATGTGGTGACCAGTGTCCTTCCTCAGACCATGTTTGGTCACCACAAGCCACAGAAGACACGAGTCGTGGAAAAATCACTCAACCCCGTCTTCAATGCCACATTCCAGTTGTAAGTTTTAGTGTTATCGGACCAAACAAGGTTTAGATTGAATCAAACAAGTTAAAGTTTAAATGTTATCTGTGTAAAGTTTAGGGCGGGATTCAGTCCAGGGCTTACTAGAGCTAACTGTCTAGAAACACCTTGGTCCAGAGGCAAAGATCCTTTAATACCAAATTTGATTCAATTTAGTTTTCAAATGTACTGAATTTTGATTTATTGACCGTCTCACAAATCAAAAGTTGAACAATCAAGATATTTTACCAAAATCGTTTTATAACGATAGATTAATGGTTGTAGTATATACTGTTTTAGCCCCAACATCCCCCAGGAGTTCCTGACCACCAAGGGAGCTGTTGTACTGCTGAGTGTACTGGATCATGATCACATCGGCCAGGATGATTTTGCCGGCGAGGTCGTACTGCATCTCTCTGGCATAGAGCGCATCAACATGTCGGAGACTGTCGACGCCAAGCCTGTTGTTATGATGGCCGTCAAACGATCAGTCACACCAACTCAAGGACCATATAAGGTAATTATTTGACTATGATATATATTGAAACTTTGGTAGAAGAGTTACTGGTTCCCAAGTGTTAGGTATTCCTGTTGATCCAATATGTACATGACAAATTCAGTTAGGTGATTTGGGAAGAAAGAAAGGAAGAAATCAAAACGAAAGATTTTTTTTTTTTTTTTTTTTTTTTAAAAGGTTTGAAAAAAATTAGGAACTTTGACAGTCATTGGGCAAAAGTTAGGTGAAAAGAGAAAATCCTTTGAAAAGAGGAAGAATTACATCCCTGCAAATTGAAAATGTATGACTCTTCTCCTTGGGTTGGATAGAAATAATGTATTTTGTATGGTTCATTTCCTAGTTATGGATAAAGGAAATGCATCTTTAACCATTACAACTGTGTATGGTTCGTCCGTAGGTGTTGATGGAGAGGATGTCGTGGGACAGGTCAGCCAAGAACTACGTGATGGAGAGGCGGAGATACCTGGATGTGAAGAGTGCAAGGACAGACCAGCCCTCCAAAATGTCCAACTTCTTCTCCTTCCTCAAAGGTCCAAAAACATGAATTCCATTACATGATAGGCAGACGTCCATTCCTGCAGAAGACGATATCAATGCATGACTGTGAAGGTCACACAATAGTCTCCCCCAAGCATTCCAGGATTAAATGTGCCTATCCGTTGACACCAGGATGCAGTCCTTAGAACACTATTTCTTGGTTACTGACATCAATGTATGCCAGCCCTTGATTACTTTTCTCATGTTTAAAGATCCGCGTACCACTACCAAAACTGTAACTAAGTGTTGGAAACTGTTTTTTCCGTCATGACTGTAGCTTTGATAAATTATTTCTGAAAAGAAAACCATACCTTCCGGGACTTTAATAAGAAATAATGAAGCTGAAATAAACAAAAAAATATAACTAACAACAGTGGTCTGGTAGGAAAAAGCATGGAGCTAGACCGAAATTGAAACCCTGAATTTCAAGCTGGTAAACTATTGCTCTGACCTATTGAGCTATACATGGTCGAGGAAAGTTTTCCTGGCCCAATTGTTCTACAGTTACAAATATATATCCAAATGGAAGTTAAGGGGAGGTTACTGCATGTAGAAAAACCCACAGTGTAGTGGGACAGGTTTCCTTAAGTGAACAGAGGTTGCATATACTTCTTGCTGTAAGAATTCAAAGCATTGTATTACTTTGTAAGCTCTTCGTTCAGCACTTATGTGTGTCAGTTCCAAATGAGGTCACAACAGCCTTAAATGTTATAGTGCAATCAATGAAGAGAGACTTGGATGCTTTCCAATATCTGGTTCAACTGTTCAGTGGGCTGAATCTGAAAGAAAATGGGAGGCAAAGATTTGAACTGAGGCTGATCGATCCCTAGAAATTTCAGCATGTGCATATTGAGGGGTCCAGATGGCCCTGGTTGAAACTAAAATGCTGTGTATCACTAGTTTGCATTATTTTACATAAAACAAGGTTGATTCACAAAAGTGTTTTAGGACATGTTGTAAAATTTAGTACATGTGTAAAAGAAACACATACTATTCTTGATTTATTGTTATTTATTAGTCATGTAACTCCGAAACTGTACAATTTAAGCAGTTGTTTATCACTGAATAGTTCTGCACAACCTGAACCGTTTCAATGGGATACGCCAAGGCAAACTATAACAATTACCATCAGAATTGTACATGTATGTATCAAATGGGAATCGCTGACTGTAGTAGAGTCCAAGCCCTTTGCTGTTGTTCAGTCAAACAATGTATTTTTTTGCATAATATATTTCATAAGTTTAATTTTCCTTATATGCCAAATATAATCCATGCTTCTGACAAAGGGTTTATTAGCTATTGGACTATTTTGATATCTAGTGTTTTGTTCCAAATTAAACCCTGTAAATTGTTCCAGGAACAAAGCGATGGATTCACTAAGCTGTATAGCAATGTTACTAAGCTATCAATTAAGTAATTGCTATAAGGTATTGTTAGCTTGACATACTAAGCTGTACAGCATTGTTAGATGGATATACTAAGTTGTACAGCACTGTTAGCTTGGTATATTTAGCTATACAATATTGTTAGCTTGATACTCTAAGCTGTACAGCATTGTTATCTTGGTAAAGTAAGCTGTACAGCACTGTTAGTTTGATATATTAAGCTGTACAATATTGTTAGCTTGATACTCTAAGCTGTACAGCATTGTTAGCTTGATACTCTTAGCTGTACAGCATTGTTAGCTTGATAAACTAAGCTGTGCAGCATTGTTAGCTTGATGAACTAAGCTGTACAGCATTGTTAGCTTGATACTCTAAGCTGTACAGTATTGTTACTAAGCTATTAGTTATATAATTGCTATACAGCATTGTAAGCTTGGTAAAGTAAGATTTACAGTATTGTTAGCTTGATAATCTAAGCTGTACAGTATTGTTAGCTTGATATACTGAGCTGTAGAGTATTGTAAGCTTGATACTCTAAGATGTACAGTATTGTTAGCTTGATACTCTAAGCTGTACAGTATTGTTACTTAGCTATTAGTTATTTAATTGCTATACAGCATTGTTACCTTGGTAAAGTACGATTTACAGTAATGTTGATATACTAATTGATCACATTTTAACCTTGCTAGAAGATGTTTTAACCACCAATACTTACATTTCCAATGTACAACAGATGTAGAAACATGTAACAGCGCCCATTGTGATGTCACCAGGAACTATTTGATGATGTTATGTATTCAGATACAAAAAATGGTGATGTTGACAATATGTATTTGTTAAGAACGTGTTGTGATGGATGCATGTAAAGAAAAGAATCTCAGAGTTGTTCCTTTTTTCCTTGATATTTATGAAACATGCTGGAGCTGTTTTCTTTCAAACCATTTGTAAAGGAAACCTGTTTCCCAGTCCCTATGTAGGTATCATGTAGGTTCTGACTGGTTGTAAAGGAAACCTGTTCCCCAGTCCCTATGTAGGCATCATGTAGGGTCTGACTGGTTGTAAAGGGAACCTGTTTCCCAGTCCGTATGTAGGTATCATGTAGGGTCTGACTGCACGGGTGTAAAGGAAACCTGTTTACCAGTCCCTCTGTAGGTATCATGTAGGGTCTGACTGGCTGTGAAGGAAACCTGTTTCCCAGTCCCCATGTAGGTATCATGTAGGGTCTGACTGGGTGTAAAGGAAACCTGTTTCCCAGTCCCCATGTAGGTATCATGTAGGGTCTGACTGCACGGTTGTAAAGGAAACCTGTTTCCCAGTCACTATGTAGGTATCATGTAGGGTCTGACTGGCTGTGAAGGAAACCTGTTTCCCAGTCCCTTTGTAGGTATCATGTAGGGTCTGACTGGTTTTAAAGGAAACCTGTTTCCCAGTCCCTATGTAGTTATCATGTAGGGTCTGACTGTTTGAGAAGGAATCCTGTTTCCCAGTCCCTATGTAGTTATCATTTAGGGTCTGACTGTTTGTGAAGGAAACCTGTTTCCCAGTCCCTCTGTAGGTATCATGTAGGGTCTGACTGGCTGTGAAGGAAACCTGTTTCCCAGTCCCTCTGTAGGTATCATGTAGGGTCTGACTGGCTGTGAAGGAAACCTGTTTCCCAGTCCCTTTGTAGGTATCATGTAGGGTCTGACTGGTCGTGAAGGAAACCTGTTTCCCAGTCCCTCTGTAGGTATCATGTAGGGTCTGACTGGCTGTGAAGGAAACCTGTTTCCCAGTCCCCATGTAGGTATCATGTAGGGTCTGACTGGCTGTGAAGGAAACCTGTTTCCCAGTCCCCATGTAGGTATCATGTAGGGTCTGACTGGTCGTGAAGGAAACCTGTTTCCCAGTCCCTCTGTAGGTATCATGTAGGGTCTGACTGGGTGTAAAGGAAACCTGTTTCCCAGTCCCAATGTAGGTATCATGTAGGGTCTGACTGCACGGATGTAAAGGAAACCTGTTTCCCAGTCCCCATGTAGGTATCATGTAGGGTCTGACTGGTTGTAATGGAAACCTGTTTCCCAGTCCCTATGTAGGGATCATGTAGGGTCTGACTGGTTGTAAAGTAAACCTGTTTCCCAGTCCCTATGTAGGAATCATGTAGGGTCTGACTGGTTGTAAAGGGAACCTGTTTCCCAGTCCCTATGTAGGTATTTATGAAACATGCTGGAGCTGTTTCTTTCAAACCATTTGTAAAGGAAACCTGTTTCCCAGTCCCTGTGTAGGTATCATGTAGGGTCTGACTGGCTGTGAAGGAAACCTGTTTCCCAGTCCCTTTGTAGGTATCATGTAGGGTCTGACTGGTTTTAAAGGAAACCTGTTTCCCAGTCCCTATGGGGTCTGACTGGTTGTAAAGGAAACCTGTCTCCCAGTCCCTATGTAGGTATCATGTATGGTCTGACTGGTTGTGAAGGAATCCTGTTTCCCAGTCCCTATGTAGTTATCATGTAGGGTCTGACTGGTTGTAATGGAAACCTGTTTCCCAGTCCCTATGTAGTTATCATGTAGGGTCTGACTGTTTGAGAAGGAATCCTGTTTCCCAGTCCCTATGTAGGTATCAGGTCTGACTGGTTGTAAAGGAAACCTGGTTCCCAGTCCCTATGTAGGTATCATGTCGGGTCTGACTGGTTGTAAAGGAAACCTGCTTCCCAGTCCCTATGTAGGGATCATGTAGGGTCTGACTGGTTGTAAAGGACACCTGTTTCCCAGTCCCTATGTAGGTATTATGTAGGGTCTGACTGGTTGTAAAGGAATCCTGTTTCCCAGTCCCTATGTAGGTATTTATGAAACATGCTGGAGCTGTTTTCTTTCAAACCATTTGTAAAGGAAACCTGTTTCCCAGTCCCCATGTAGGTATCATGTAGGGTCTGACTGCACGGGTGTAAAGGAAACCTGTTTACCAGTCCCTCTGTAGGTATCATGTAGGGTCTGACTGGGTGTAAAGGAAACCTGTTTCCCAGTCCCCATGTAGGTATCATGTAGGGTCTGACTGGGTGTAAAGGAAACCTGTTTCCCAGTCCCAATGTAGGTATCATGTAGGGTCTGACTGGGTGTAAAGGAAACCTGTTTCCCAGTCCCTGTGTAGGTATCATGTAGGGTCTGACTGGGTGTAAAGGAAACCTGTTTCCCAGTCCCCATGTAGGTATCATGTAGGGTCTGACTGGTTGTAATGGAAACCTGTTTCCCAGTCCCTATGTAGTTATCATTTAGGGTCTGACTGTTTGTGAAGGAAACCTGTTTCCCAGTCCCCATGTAGGTATCATGTAGGGTCTGACTGCACGGTTGTAAAGGACACCTGTTTCCCAGTCCCTATGTAGGTATCATGTAGGGTCTGACTGCACGGTTGTAAAGGAAACCTGTTTCCCAGTCCCTATGTAGGTATCATGTATGGTCTGACTGCACGGTTGTAAAGGAAACCTGTTTCCCAGTCCCTATGTAGGAATCATGTAGGGCCTGACTGGATGTAAAGGAAACCTGTTTCCCAGTCCCTATGTAGCTATCATGTAGGGTCTGACTGGTTGTAAAGGAAACATGTTTCCCAGTCCCTATGTAGGTATCATGTAGGGCCTGACTGGTTGTAAAGGAAACCTGTTTCCCAGTCACTATGTAGGTATCATGTAGGGTCTGACTGCACGGATGTAAAGGAAACCTGTTTCCCAGTCCCTATGTAGCTATCATGTAGGGTCTGACTGGTTGTAAAGGAAACCTGTTTACCAATCCCTATGTAGGTATCATGTAGGGTCTGCCTGGTTGTGAAGGGAACATGTTTCCCAGTCCCTATGTTGGTATCATGTAGGGTCTGACTGGTTGTGAAGGGAACCTGTTTCCCAGTCCCTATGTAGGTATCATGTAGTGTCTGACTGGTTGTAAAGGAAACCTGTTTCCCAATCCCTATGTAGGTATCATGTAGGGTCTGACTGGTTGTGAATGAAACCTGTTTCCCAGTCCCTATGTAGGTATCATGTAGTGTCTGTCTGGTTGTAAAGGAAACCGGTTTCCCAGTCCCTATGTAGGTATCATGTAGGGTCTGCCTGGTTGTGAAGGGAACATGTTTCCCAGTCCCTATGTTGGTATCATGTAGGGTCTGACTGGTTGTGAAGGGATCATGTTTCCCAGTCCCTATGTAGGTATCATGTAGGGGCTGACTGCACGGTTGTAAAGGAAACCTGTTTCCCAGTCCCTATGTGGGTATCATGTAGGGTCTGACTGGTTGTAAAGGGAACATGTTTCCCAGTCCCTATGTAGGTATCATGTAGGGACTGACTGGTTGTGAAGGGAACATGTTTCCCAGTCCCTATGTAGGAATCATGTAGGGCCTGACTGGATGTAAAGGAAACCTGTTTCCCAGTCCCTATGTAGCTATCATGTAGGGTCTGACTGGTTGTAAAGGAAACCTGTTTCCCAGACCCTATGTAGGTATCATGTAGGGTCTGACTGCACGGATGTAAAGGAAACCTGTTTCCCAGTCCCTATGTAGGTATCATGTATGGTCTGACTGCACGGTTGTAAAGGAAACCTGTTTCCCAGTCCCTATGTGGGTATCATGTAGGGTCTGACTGGTTGTAAAGGGAACATGTTTCCCAGTCCCTATGTAGGTATCATGTAGGGCCTGACTGGTTGTAAAGGAAACCTGTTTCCCAGTCCCTATGTAGCTATCATGTAGGGTCTGACTGGTTGTAAAGGAAACATGTTTCCCAGTCCCTATGTAGGTATCATGTAGGGGCTGACTGCACGGTTGTAAAGGAAACCTGTTTCCCAGTCCCTATGTGGGTATCATGTAGGGTCTGACTGGTTGTAAAGGGAACATGTTTCCCAGTCCCTATGTAGGTATCATGTAGGGTGTGACTGGTTGTAAAGGAAACCTGTTTCCCAGTCACTATGTAGGTATCATGTAGGGTCTGACTGGTTGTGAAGGAACCCTGTTTCCCAGTCCCTATGTAGGTATCATGTATGGTCTGACTGCACGGTTGTAAAGGAAACCTGTTTCCCAGTCCCTATGTGGGTATCATGTAGGGTCTGACTGGTTGTAAAGGGAACATGTTTCCCAGTCCCTATGTAGGTATCATGTAGGGACTGACTGGTTGTGAAGGGAACATGTTTCCCAGTCCCTATGTAGGTATCATGTAGGGCCTGACTGGTTGTAAAGGAAACCTGTTTCCCAGTCACTATGTAGGTATCATGTAGGGTCTGACTGCACGGTTGTAAAGGACACCTGTTTCCCAGTCCCTATGTAGGTATCATGTAGTGTCTGACTGGTTGTAAAGGAAACCTGTTTCCCAGTCCCTATGTAGCTATCATGTAGGGTCTGACTGGTTGTAAAGGAAACCTGTTTACCAATCCCTATGTAGGTATCATGTAGGGTCTGCCTGGTTGTGAAGGGAACATGTTTCCCAGTCCCTATGTAGGAATCATGTAGGGCCTGACTGGATGTAAAGGAAACCTGTTTCCCAGTCCCTATGTAGGTATCATGTAGGGTCTGACTGGTTGTGAAGGGAACATGTTTCTGTTTATGAAGATTAATGTTTCTTGATTAGCGATATTTGGCATCCTATATCATCTTATTCGACATTTCGCTGATCATATAATTTGTCATCAAAATTGACTCTGTGCGTTAATGAATATGCAAGTAAGAAAAGTTACTGTTTAACAAAATCATTTCAGTTCTGCAAGCTTTATAGATGAAGGCATGACAGAGAATTTTGTTTTTAATTCTTGTGGCCCTTTATTAATAGATAAAATAGTGCTTATTCCAGTTTTAAATTTGAAGGTTAAGATTCTCTGTAAAGACAGAAGTTATTTTCAAATGATTTCTTTCCAGTGTTGGTAAGACTAGGAAATAACAATTGGAGTAATTACTTGATTTTTCAATTAAACAACTAAGCAATGTAATGGTATGTATATGAAAGCTAGGAGTCAAACTCTTAGCCATACTGCCGG